CCTCCTGGAGTACCTCGAAGACATCATTGGCACCTCCAAATACAAGACTCCCATCGAAGAATCAGCGGCCGAGGTTGAGGCCCTCAACGATGTTTGTGTCGAAAAGAGCAGCCGTGTACAACACGTCGAGAAGGAAAAGAGCAGTCTAGAAGGGAAGAAGGATATTGCTTTGGCGCTCATTCGTGACGAGAATGAACTCACAATCAAGCAATCCGCCCTCTATCAGCTTTTCCTACACGAATGCAACGAAAACATCGTGGTTACGGAGGAAGCCATCAACCAAATGCAGGCCCAGCTCGATGACGAGCTCGAGAAACACCAAGGCAGTGAGACACTCATCAAGGATCTTCAGAAGCAGTACAAGCAGGGGAGCAAAGAGGTCGACGCCTCAGACAAGCATACCCAAGCGCTTGCAAAAGAGATGGCGCAGTTTGACCAAGAACGCGTCAAGTTCGACGAGAAAAAGAAGTTCCTCGACGGCAAGCGTAAGAAGTTTGAAAGGACCATTGCCAATGCCGAAAAGGATTCTGCCACTGCCGATGAGACAATAGCCGAAAGCACCAAGACAATGGAGAAAAGCACCAAGGATGTTGCAGATCTCGAGAGCCAAATCGAGGCGGAGGAGGCCCAATTGATCAAGATTCGAGAGGGACTTCAGGGCAAAACGCAAAAGTTCTCCGACCAAATCGCAATTAAGCAGAAGACCCTAGAGCCCTGGCTGGAGAAGATCAACGAGAAGCAGTCAGCCATTGCGGTTGCTGAAAGTGAGCTGACTATTCTCCAAGATAAGGCAAATGCTGGTGCCGTGGCTCTCGAGGAATTGGAGGCCAAGATTAAAACCAATGAAGTTACAAAGGATGAGAAAGCTAAGGAACTCAAGGCCTGCGAAGCTCAGATGTCAAAGCTTGCCAAGGAGGCCGAGAAGATGCAGTCGGAAATCAATATCCTCACTGAGCAGGAACCCAAGATGCGAGCCAAGATTTCGAGTACAAGACAAAAAGCTGACGAAGCACGCTCGAGCCTCGCAAGCACCCAGACGAGGGGCAAAGTTCTTGCCGCCCTCATGCGCATGCGTGAATCCGGGCGTATCGAAGGATTCCACGGCCGCCTTGGTAATCTTGGCACCATGGACGAGAAATACGATGTTGCCGTCTCGACTGCTTGCGGCGCGCTTGACAACTTTGTCACCGAAACTGTTGAATCCGGCCAGCAGTGCATCGAATATCTGCGCAAAAACAACCTTGGCAGAGGCAATTTTATCTGCTTGGACAAGCTCAAGGACCGAAACCTTGCTCCAATCCAGACACCAGAGAACGCTCCTCGCCTGTTTGACCTGGTTAAACCCCAGCATGATCGCTTCAGACCTGCATTTTACCACGCTATGCAAGACACACTGGTGGCAGTGGACTTGGCCCAGGCCAACCGAATCGCTTATGGCGCCAAGCGCTGGCGAGTTGTCACACTAGCTGGCGAGCTGATTGACAAGTCTGGTACTATGTCTGGCGGTGGCACAACAGTCAAGAAGGGCCTCATGTCGTCGCAGCTAAGTAGCGACATCACTAAGGAGAAGGTTGCCAAACTCGAGGAAGACAGAGACACATGGGAAGCCAAATTCCAAGAGTTCCAAGAGTACCAGCGGGAGTGCGAAAATCGCATGAAAGAGATCAATGACGAGATCCCCGCTCTGGAGACAAAAATTCAGAAGATCGGTCTCGAAGTAGAAAGCGCCACTCGCAACATCGCCGATCTTCGGCGTCACATCAAATCTGTTAGCCAGGAGTATCAGCCGTCTGCCAGTGATACTGCAAGAATCAAGGAGTTACAGAAGGGAATTGCCTCGCTGAACTCTGAAATCGAGAAGCTACGGGGTGAGACCTCTAGCGTCGAGGAGGAGATCAAGGCTCTACAAGACAAGATTATGGAAGTCGGTGGTGAGAAGCTTCGCATGCAGCGTGCTCTTGTTGATGGTTTGAAAGATCAAATCACGTCACATAACGAAGAAATCTCCTTCGCTGAAGTGCGAAAGGCCAAGGCTGAGAAACAAAAAGTTAAACTTGAAAAAGACATCGCCAAGGCCACCAAGGAATGCGATGCTGCTGTGGCCGAACTGGAACAGCTTGACGACGATATCACTAACCAGGGCACCAAGTCTGATGAGCTTCGCCAAAAGGTGGAAGAAGCGCAGTCCGCTCTAGCTATCAAGAAAGCCCAGCTTCAGGAATTGAAGGAAGATTTGGATGTCAAGACTTCCGAACTCAACGAAACACGTGCTATTGAGATCGAGATGCGCAACAAGTTGGAGGAGAATCAGAAGACCCTTGTCGAAAATCAAAAGCGTCAGCGCTACTGGGATGACAAGCTGTCCAAGCTGGTTCTTCAGGACATCAATGACCTCATCGGCGAGTCGGCATCAAAACGTGTGACGTCCGCTCCCGGGAACAATGGAGACAAGTCTCAGGTTGACTCGGAAGATGTCGAGATGGGCGAGACTGCGGAGGCAGAAAAGGCCGACGTTAGCATGGGTGAAGCAGAGGAGCCTCGGGCGGAAGACCAAGAGCGCTCTATGCACCAGCCACAGGAGCTCCCTCAGTACACTCCGGATGAACTTGCAGAGATGAGCAAGGAAACTCTGAAAGGTGAAATTGCTGCTCTTGAGGAGAAGACGCAAAATGTTGCTGTCGATCTTGGCGTGCTCGCCGAATACCGTCGACGCGTTGAGGAACATGCCGCTAGATCTACCGATCTTCAGTCGGCCCTGGATCAGCGTGACTCTGCCAAGAAGCGCTGTGACGACCTGCGCCGCATGCGACTGGAGGGCTTCATGGCCGGCTTCAGCGCCATCTCCCTGCGCCTCAAGGAGATGTATCAGATGATTACCATGGGTGGCAACGCTGAGCTGGAACTCGTCGACAGCTTGGATCCCTTCAGTGAAGGTATTCTGTTTAGTGTGATGCCTCCCAAGAAGAGCTGGAAGAACATTGGTAACCTCTCTGGTGGCGAGAAGACACTCAGCAGTCTTGCGCTTGTGTTTGCTCTGCATCACTACAAGCCCACGCCACTGTACGTCATGGACGAAATTGATGCCGCCCTGGATTTCAGAAACGTAAGTCTACCTAGTTTGAGCATCTCCGGCCGCAGACGAAGACGGCTCGCCAAATATTACTATCTTGATCGCAAGATTCCAGCGCTGACGATTTCTTCACAGGTTTCCATTGTTGCAAACTATATTAAGGAGCGCACCAAGAACGCCCAGTTTATTGTCATTTCACTCCGAAACAACATGTTTGAGCTTGCTGCTCGTCTAGTTGGCGTGTACAAGGTCAACCATATGACAAAGAGTGTGACAATCGAGAACCAAGACTACATTGCCCGCCCACAGCCGCAACAGCGATCAGCCATGGGTGGCCATACAACGACACTGGCGTTAAGATGACGAAAACGATGGCGTTCTCTAGCGTCGCTTCTTTCTATTTTTGTACATATGCTAATGTTTACGACGATGACAATAAATCTTTAATGACGGGAGATCGCATTTAGGGACGACATTTCTTTTTCTTTCGTCTGGTTTTTTTGGCATAGAAGTTTGTGTATATAAACTACCTGCGCTTTGGTGATGATCATGGTGTCTTTGGAGGAACTGTTTGACGAGTACCCTTTGCTTGCTTGCTAATTTCAATACTCTTCTGAGAGCCCTTTCCTACGACGCTATGTACTTGACAACGTAAGACGTGTACGACAAACTGCGCTCCTGTTCCTTCCGGACTACTGTTTCCGACAGAGACAGATGCAGTGCACACAAGCTGACAGAGAGCGACTTCCGTATTGTGCTCCTCGCCGTTCAAAGTTTGACAGGGCTGTGGTCTCGGTTGTGCGACGATACTCGCGAGAGGCTTTCTCGGCTCCAGTCGAGTCTTTGCGAGTCCTGGCACAAGTGTGCTTTGCCGACGCAAACAGTTTTCCAGGTGGCAATGGCTCCTACTTGAAACTATAAGTAACGGAAGAATACCCTATTCTTCAGGTCCAATTGGCAAGTAAAAGAAGAAGGCCATCGACCCCGGGTAAATCACCAAACATGTGGCGTGCACTTCTTTTCCTGTTTGCTGCCTTTAGCGTCGCAGCGTTTCCGGCTGCAAATGAGTACGGAGAATGCGAGGATGATGAGCTTTACGATTCTCTGAAACGAGATGGAGAGGGGTTTTGTAACGAGCTTCTGGATCCCGAGTGCTACACCTCCATCAGCACACCAGTCGAGTATGCAACCTATGATGACTGGAAGTTGTCTTCTTATGTATGAACAAACGATTCCACCTTTCATGAAAGCACCATCAATTAATCATCTCGCTAGTGCTCGTGTGTTTATGATGATCCATGCCACCATGATACAACAAGCTCGGATATCGGGACGCTTCCTTCATACACGCGATCGTATGTCTGTCTTGGACGAGGCAAGGTTTTCAGAAACTAACATATCGGCGTCTCAGGACCTATACTATCACCACTACTGTGGAAGCGACAATCACTTCTGAGACGCAGACTACTTCTACGACTGGTTTTCCTGAAAAAACTACCTCAACTCAAGTGTCAAACACGACTTCGTGGACGTCCTCTGGGTCGAGAATAACCTCCGCCACCATTCTTCCTGGAAATCGCACGTCTACGCAGTGGTCAAACACTACGGCACCAACCCCTTCTGATACAAAGATTACCTCGGCAACAGTTCTTCCTGGAAACCGCACGTCCACGCGGTGGTTCAATACTACAACACCGTCACCAACTGAGACGTATATAAGCTCGACCACTATTCTCACCGGAAATAGGACGTCTACACAATGGTTGAATACTACCATGCCGACACCTTCTGAGACAGGAGTGACTTCGACTACTATTGTTTCTGACAACACCACAACTCAAGCGTCAACTACCTTTTCAAGGACGCCGTCTAGCACGGTTTCCGTGACCACATTCCCTGGTAGTCTCACCTCTACCCAGCTATCAAACACCACATCACTGACCCCGACCCTGACCCCGACCCCGACCCCGACGCCCTTTGACGCTGCCAACTTTACCAGCGTCCTGCGCGGGCCGGCCCCGTCCTCTCAGGCATGTCATTACCGCCCAGCAGCCCGGGACGGCACCTCGCACCTCGCAACGCTGCAGAATGAAGAGATTCGGCAGCGCAACCTCTCGCTGGCGTTTCCGTACGTCGGGTCCATCAACTTTGACAGCGACGACATGACACCGCTTTACCTGTCTGTCCGCGACGCAGCCAAAGGCGCGCATCTCATTGACGTCTCGGACTCGTCTGCCGTGACCATTTTCGATTCGAGAAACAACTCGATGCGTCTGGACCTGTCGGGCATCCACTTTGTCACCGGCCACTGCAACTTGACAGTCTCCTACCTCATTGACAATTTATACGGCCAGCTGGCGCAGCAGTCATTCGAAATGTGCTCCATGGGCCGCAAGAAGCTGCTGGCCGGCGAGCAGACCTTTGTCCAGACGCTCGTGCTCCGTGACCAGTGCGGCAACTCGGTCGGGCCCACGGTTCGGCGGTACCCGGACCTGCGCGTCGACGGCGAGCAGTGCATTGCTCTCGGCCGCGGCGCCGCTGCCACCGACCCTGCCAACGGAACATGGACATTCGACTGCCCGTGGCAGAGCGCCGGGTCGGCTGTGCAGAGGTGCATGTCGTCGCTCGAGAGAAACGCCGTCGAGTTTCTGCTGTACGATCCGTTCAACGGCGGCTGCGCTGACGCGTCCAGCGTCGTCACGATGCTGGAGGCGTCGGCCAGGGACATGCTCAACATCACGGCGATTCGGCAGGAGCTCCACAGCCAGGTTGGAAACAACACCGACCACTTTTACAAGGTGGACGACACCGTCATGTACTACATGCAGCTGTGGGAGACGCTCAAGAGCACGCTGTCCAAGACGCGGGGCCTCAACCCGGGCCGCGGCAGCAACCTGAAGCAGTATCTGGACACGTACAACCGCTTCCGCAACTTTGCGGCCGATGCCTGCACCAGCCTCAACAGCTCCATCGTGCCCGCCGTCTTGAGCCTGAGCGCCGGCAGCAGCACGATTCCCAGGCTGGCGTCCTTTCCGAGCATCCCGGTCGCGAGCGAGCCGCTGACGGTCAAGATTCAGGATCCCTCCAAGATGGCATGCTGCCCCAATGGCGGCATGAGCGTCACGCATCCCGAGAATGGCAAGTGTGGGTATCCTCTCGAGGCGCGTATTCCGGGTACAGGTTGTGTGTGCGGCAAGACGGCGACGCAGGAGTCTGTGGCTTTCAAGTACCGCCAGTGCGACAACTTTGTGAGCCAGTGCCAGGCCAACTCTGATTGCGCAGCCGCAGGCTATGCTGGCTTTCTGTGCCTCATTGGAAGCTGCTGCGGTAAAGGCGTATGCTTTGACCCCTTTGAGTGCTCTCGTCCTGATGTTCTTCTCCTCCCGGGTAGTGCTGATTGAATGACACTATTGTAACGCGCCTCGTCTGCAAATGGGCTTGTCTGCTAGTGGTTCAATTACTTTTGAACTCTTCTTTGTTGTTTTGCTCCCTAGATTGGTTGACTTTGTGCCATGCAGCGAAAGAAAATTATAGGCTAGAGTGGAATTAATCACCAGTACGCAAGACACAAAGTTTGATGCTCGTCAATGATCAATGCCTGAAAGGTCTGGATTTTGAACGTGAAAACTACTCTCAAGCTTCACAATCCTAGTTCATCTAAACCGTACTCTTGTTGCATATGCAGACGTCGTATAAACAAAGCCCAGACTCCTTTTTTCCCAGCCAAAGATCACATCAAAAAAATTTACTTCATTTTTTCGTCAATTTGCCCTGGCTTAGGCCTTGGGGGCAGTAGGAGTGACCTTCTTGGCGTCACGGTTGAAGCGGACACGGGGAGGGGGGGCACGGTTGCGGCGACCGACGCGGGATCGGACACTGCGGGTATGATTGTTAGCACAAACTGTTCTTTTCGGCCGAGGGTAATACTTGAGGAGCGTTTTTCAAATGCGCCAAGGTTCATCTGAAGCACATACGCCGCCTGAATAAGGCTGGCGCAGTTGTCACACTCCCGGAGAAGACAACGTACCGGACAATCTTGCCGTGAATGGCGCAAGAGACGCAGTACTGCAGCTTAAGGTACATCTTGGGCACGGTGTACTCGGCGAAGACCGAGGCATCGGAGATGTCACCTGGAAGAGCAATGTTAGCAGGTCGGCTCGAATTTGCGGGCGCGGAATACGTGGTGAAGCGCCAAGAAACGTACGAATAGCAGCAGACTCGACCATGTTGCGGATGGTGAAGCGCTTGATGGCCTTGTCCTTGGGCGTGCAGCGAGCGCAGTTGCTGCAACGGATAGGGTTGACGTGGCCGCGGCCCTTCTTGTTGCGGCCGCTGGGAGTGTGTTAGTAAAGTGTTAAATCAGAATGCGAAGCCAAATGGCTATTGGAATGAAGTTGTAGTTGTTGAGGGAGCTTGAGCATCATGCAAGTGGCGGGCGCTGGAGAACAGGATGGATTCGTACTTATTCTTTCTCTTCTTGACCATCTTGACGGTATCTAGTAAAGGGTTGTTAGCACCTAGATTTCGTGATCAATTGCTCACGCGCAGCGCGGGGTCAACATACTGAATTGTTAATGCCGTTGTGATTGAGGAAGCAGGAAATTCAGGAAACTGCCTGGTGGATTTTAAGTCGCTAGTACCAAGCAAAGATCACGCTAAGCACCGAAAAATGAACCCACAAAAGCTGCACAACAAGCGAGTGCGCAGAGGGGAGGGCTGCCAATGAGGTTCCACTCTGGACTCGTGCGGGCCGGCGGTTGAGGGCAAGGGCGCTCAAGAACGAACCCTAGGTCATGTGACTCCACCTGCGAAGGCTGGAATCGGCCCTAGAGAATAATGCATTTGCGGGCCGCCACCACTCTAAAGGTTTTCTTTCTCTCCCACCCGCAAACACATCTGAGGATTGCTTAGGACGGCAAAGAACATTTTGTCGAGGTATGTCTGAAAGATGCTGCATCGCGACCGTCTTCCCTCCGTGACGGGAACAGCAATGTTTCCGTCATGAGCCTCTCTTCGCTCTCTCCCCCGACGACACGAAATGGAAAAGCGTTCCGTCTCGATCGAATTGAGCCGGCCATCGAGCCGCGCGCGCGCACGCACAGGAGATCAAAGTCGACACCTCATAAATTAGCATTCATACTGCTGCTCTCTGCAATGGAGACGCTTTGCTTCTCTGGCGTGCCCGCCGCGCCGGCCGATGGCAAGGGAAGACTGGAACCGATCTGCAGTCATCGTGTAAAAAGCACTTTATCAGGACCTTGTCACCTAACATTTGTGATTGAGTAGGCAAGATGCAGATTTTCGTCAAGACCCTGACGGGCAAGACTATCACCCTTGAGGTGGAGTCTTCCGACACCATTGACAACGTCAAGTCGAAGATCCAGGACAAGGAGGGCATCCCCCCCGACCAGCAGCGCCTGATCTTTGCTGGCAAGCAGCTCGAGGATGGCCGCACCCTGAGCGACTACAACATCCAGAAGGAGTCTACCCTTCATCTCGTCCTCCGCCTTCGTGGTGGTGGCAAGAAGCGCAAGAAGAAGGTCTACACCACCCCCAAGAAGATCAAGCACAAGCGCAAGAAGACCAAGCTGGCTGTCCTCAAGTACTACAAGGTCGACAAGGACGGTGGTATTGAGCGTCTCCGCCGCGAGTGCCCTGCTGACACTGTGCGTTTTTTCGATTCAAATCTACAATTTTCTTGGACAGGTTGCTAACTTAAACTCCTAGTGCGGTGCCGGTGTCTTCATGGCCGCTATGGCTGACCGCCAGTACTGTGGCCGTTGCCACCTTACCTACGTCTTTGACAAGCAATAAATTACTACTTTGCCATAGAAATGTTTATGGAATGACTTTGAGGCGACCTTTTTTCGGCGCTTGGGACGACCAAAGTAAAAATGGCGTTGATGTAGCATATAGTGCATCCGGCTTAGGGTAATGAATGCTTGATTTAAGAACGAACAAAAAAAATACCCTCATGATACCACTCAATTCTGCTTGTGATGCATTACGCTCGAATTTGAAGACGGGTCCCAATCGGGTCTCAAAAATCCGTGTAGTGTGAAAGAGACCAAGCACGTAAATGTGGCAGGACGGAACTGTGCACAAGGCTCGCCTACCAGCCCCAAATAATCGAGGTGGTGGTCTTTGCTGCACATGTCAAAACATGATCGCATTTCAATTTCAGGTCATTTTTTGTTCATTGTTGAATTTACTCAAGTCATGGTATTGCAGCAGGTCGTTTTACATGGTGCGAACCAGTGCCGGTCCGTACATTGCTGGCGACACGAAGTTTTCAACAGAAAACAAAGTGGAACTAGATACAATAAAAAAGCAGCCATTATGCCCTCAACGCCATTTGCCCAGGTACATCAAACAAGCAAGTAGAAATAAGAAAAAAGGCCGAAGAACTCCCAACCAAACAACGCAAAGAAGCCATCTAGTGAAGCGTAGCAAGTCCTTGACAGAGAACAAGGGGAGCTGAGCTGCATGCAAGGGACGCGCCTCGAAGAAAAGCGTCACGCCCGCTCCCGCTGCCATTCGTCATATGCAATCATGCGCCGGCTAGTGCCAACTGTGAATCCGCACAAAAAGAGAATGCTCATCCGTCCTGGGTCAAGTCTTACTCGTCATCGGCAGCCTCAGACTTTCTCTTCTTCTTCTTCTTCTTCTTCTCGCCGTCGTCCTTGGGAGTAGCGTCGTCGTCGTGCTTGCGCTTCTTGTCCTTCTTGTCCTTTTTATCCTTCTTCTCTTTCTTGTCCTTCTTGTCCTTCTTCTCCTTCTTGGGAGTGACGCCAGCATCGGCCATCTCCTCATCCTCGTCCTGATCGATAATGGTGGCCATGACAGATTTCTAGACCATGGTTAGCAAAGAAGCAGCAGTTACGAGAGAAGGGAAATATTCATACCATGACGTCGGCGTTCTTGTTGGGACGCTTTCCAGAGGCGTAAAACTCTAAGCGATCCTCGACCTGCTGGCGGAGAGCCTCACCCCAGCGGGTGGAGGGGTTTTCGGTGAAGCTGTCGATACGGGTGGCGATACTGCACTTGTTGGCAAGGTATCTGGAGATGCGACCCTTGTTGCGCACACCGGCCTTGCCAATGAAGCTGCTGTGGTAGATCAAGCCATACTTGGGAGTGTTGCTCTTGGTCTTGAGGGCGCGGAAGAGGGCCTTCTCGGCACCGAGAATCTGCAGGGTGGAGGCGGGGTATTTAGACAGGTTTGTGAGCGAACCGGCATGAGAGATGAGACGGGCAGCAACAGGAGTGCCAATGAGGGCCTGCAGGTTGGGAGCGACCTGGTTCATCTTGCTCTCGAGGTAGCCGCCGGTGGTCTTTCGGTTGTTGGCCTGTTTGACAACAGCAGTGGCGAGCTGAGTGATGATTTCGAGATCGGCAGGCATAATATCAAAGCCCATGGAGACCTTGGCGGCGTCAATGATGGCCTGCGCCTTTTCGCCGTCTTCCTCGAGGTATTGGGCAAGCTCGTCGCGCTTGTCGTCGGTCAGGGTCTTCTTGTCGCCAATGGCGAGGACGAGCTTGGCATAAGTCAAGTTGTCAGAGACAATCTTGATCAGCTCCGGGAAGTGCCAGCCGTACCATTCGCGGACACGCATGAAGAACTGGTTCACGCCCTTGTCCTGGAAATCGAGGGTGGCACTGGCCTGGATAATGTGGTTGTCGTTCTTGGTGACGCTGAACTTGACCTTGGCACGGGAGTAAGCGTGACCCATACCAAGACCAGCCTTTTCGATGTCGCCAGTCTTGAGATCGCTCAGGAGTTTGTCGGCGTGCAGGCGGATGCCGCGAATAACGTCGGAGACAACCTCAGAGGTATCGGCGGTCTCACAATCGAGGCCAGAGAACTCGGCCTTGATGGCACCAGCAAGATTCTTCTCGGAGACACCGAGGGTGACCTTGCTCTTCTTGCCGCTCTTGGGAAGGTTGAGCTCGAGGACTGATTTGAGGTACTCGGAGCAGATACCCTCGGAGATGAGGTTGATGTTCTCGAGAGCTTCGACATGGCCACTGCCGGAAATGTATTAGCCGAAATGATTCACTTGACCAAGAATTGGCGAAGAAGAGCCCGCCAGGAAGTTGCTTTTACCGGAAAGGACTGAAGTTGACCAGCTTGATCATCTTGCCAAACTTTGACAAGTCATTGACGGCGGCCTGGGTCTCCTTCAACTTCAAGCCCACGGCGTCTGACTGACGCACCACCTGAAAGAGGGCATAGCCCACCGGGGACTCGTATAAAGCGTAGTCAATGTGCGACATCTTGATGCGTCCCTGTTTGCGCCGCAATTGAGTCGAAAACAGACGTCTTGACTGTAGTTTTGGTGTACTGGGAAATTCGCTGGACAATTTTTTAGCAATTTTTCTGCAGAGGAAAATTTCTGGAGCTTGAACCTGAACCAATAAGCTGCGGTTAACCGTTGAAGTGGGGAAGAATCACGTGGAGATAGCCAAGCATATCGGGCCCACCTTCGTGCTCTCTTTGAAGTCACTCTCACTATTTATCAGCTTCACAACTATCTTGGCAAACTTTTATTTATTCCATTTGCCAACTTTCGGCAGAAGCTTTTTCTACCAGGGTTCACCGCGTCAAAGAAGATGCTTGTTGTGGTAAAGTGGTCAAAATTCATGAGCGCATGGTTCTATCGAGCAACCACCTCGCATGGCACACATTTTTAGTTGTCGGGCAATCCGTTTCTCAAGTTATCATACTTGGTCTCAGGATACTTGAGGCAGTTTTCCTGCTTTTTCAGTGCTTCTGTGCCCCCGAGCTCGCCAACGACAGTACTGATAAGCGAGTTGTCACCTGTCTTGTCAGCACTGCTTTCCCACCACATACCACCACCTAGTCCGCGCTCTTTGATGAAGCCGGCTTTGATCCTTGCTAGTTCCGGAGTGTCGTACGTGACGAGAGTACGCGCAGCAGGATTCTGGCAGTAAGTGGCACATGAATCGTCGTCCTTGTGCTCCTCTGCACCTTCCAAGGGCAGCTTCTTGTAGTCGTACACGCCCTGCTCCCAAGTACCCTGTCCCACACCTTGGAAAGGCTGGCCCATGCCATCACAGTTTTCAAATGCACGACCATACAACGGCATTCCAAGGACTAGCTTATCAGGAGCAACACCGTTTTGAGTATAGTAATCGACAGCTGCGACGGTAGAAAATGGCGTGGAAGCAGGTGTGTCCTTGCAGGGATACAGGTTGGCTTGGTGACCACTGGTCTTGTCCCAAGAACCGGCGTAGTCATATGCCATCAGGTTCCAAAAATCCAAGTATGCATCCATACCCTTGATGTCGAGCTTCTGATAGTTGTCAGGCCCTGCTGGACAGGCCACCGAGAGCTCAAAGTGGTAATTGTCAGCAGCTCTTGCAGAGTACTCGTCTAGTTGCTTGCGGACCTCGGCGAGAAGCTCAACGAAGTGGCCTGCCTCTTCCGGAGTCTTGGGATACTCCCAGTCGATATCGATACCATCAAAACCAAGGTTCTTGACCAGCTCGACACAGGATTTGGCGAATGTGTCGCGGCCCTCGGGCCTGCTAGCTGGAGCGGGGAAGTTGGAGCTATATGTCCAGCCACCAATGGAGAGCAGCACCTTGAAGTTCCGGTTGTGTTTCTTCAGGATATTGAGTTGCTTGAGGCAGCCATACACGTTGGTGCCGGTATCGTTCCATGAATCACCTTCCCAATGGATGTCGGTGTCCGCCCAGCTATCGGTCATGAAGCTGTTGGTACAGGGTCAGTAATAGTAGCGGGGCTATACAGCTTCGACTAGAAGACGAACACTTCACCACTTTCACTGCGAACATTCGCAAAAGAGTACAAGACATGGGTAAGGTTTTTAGCCGGGAGATCCTGCGGCAAATGCTTGCGCGCATAGATGGCCCTGCATCATCCTGGTGGTTAGCATCAAAACGCACTGCGCCATGGCCTTTTCTGGGCTTCTTGAAAACCATACCAGTTGACGTAATAGGCTACGGTTCGATAACTCATATTGTTGGGTGTACTTGAAGGTAAAAACAGGTTGAAAGAAAAACAAAGCGAGATGATGAGGATCGTGACGGAAATAAAATGGACGCAGGCCATGAGCAGGTGTAATGAGGCAGTGCCTGCAGGTGCAGCCTGTGTGGCGGGGTCGTCTGTTTAGGTAGGTGTCTGCGGTGTGCGCGTGCCAGGTGTCACGCGGAGCAGTCACTTTCTATGACACCAAGATAACATGCTTGTACAGCCACGACGGCTGGTGCAACGTTCAGTTTCCATCTACAACGCTTTCAACATGTAATTTTTCTCGGATATTTTCAACGGGATTTTTCCATGTGCAGCCTCACCATCTTCCGAACCTTTCGGCGCTGGACATTGAATAAAGAGACTTGCTACTGCCGTAATTTCTGAGATGCACGAAACTTCATATCTCTTAGCAATAAGTTCAAGATAGGTGGAAACTGTCTCAGCTTATCACGGGCATGACCGTTTTCAATTGTATAGGATGATCATGAGGCAAGTGAAACAGCTGCCTGATGCATAGTTTGTCTATCTAGATAACATGACATGTATAACATGACATGTTGGAGCTAGTGAAGCGCGCCGCCTTTGCATCACTATGGCCTCCTCATCGATACACGTAGTGTGGCGGCCAAGTTAAGCTCTCTGATCTTAGCAATCTACATAAATCAATTGAAGCTGTTCTGGACTGACGGTTGAAAGAATCGGGTGTTGCCTTGGTGCCTCTGCAAATAAATATGACATCTCAGCCCGCATCACTGCCCATGTCGCGCTGGCGACACAGTCGGCTGTCTCCTTTTAAAGCCCGGAATCCGAGCCGACGAAGGTGGCAGAATTGTGACAAACGCAATGCTACGGACTTGGCGTTAGAAGAGAGAATTTATCAACATTTTCGAAGAAAATGGCCATTGATCAGCGGCAACGTCGTTGCAAACCAGGCCCAATCAACACAGGCTTTGAGAATCAGTGTAAAGACTAAAGATGTTTTTTGAAAAATGCTAATAATATTAAGAAAATAAGTAACAACGCTTGCAGCATATTAACCACAGCACGAAGCCTAAAAGACAAAAATAAAATCCTCATTCTCCAAATCAGTAAGGTCTGCAAAAGCGTTACTGTTTGGAGTTTCCTCCTCGTAATCGGATTGCTGCCCTTCCGGATAGTCTAGACTAGAACCGAGCTCGCCATTGTGCAGACGTGCATCTCTCTCCCAGTTTTCCTGTATCGTACTCATGCGGGCGACCTCGCCAGCCGTCTCGAGGCTGGAGTCAAAGACGACTGCCTTTTTACCCAAGGCAACGCGTCGCTTTGCGTGCCTTTTATTCAACATTTTCAGGTATGCCGAAGTCAGGAAGACGAGCAGAATTACCACGCTAAAAAGAGCAATATTAGTCGTAAGACCTCGACTGTAGGACGGTGCCTCTTCCGGCGTGAAGAGGAGCGGGCCGACGATGTTGCCTGCTGAAGAGCCGATAAACACGAGTGCAGATGTGGACTTTCGCTTCGTATCTCCAGCGGTGTTTTGCGCAGACCACGAATATATTAGTGGTGCTGGACATCATTAGCATGGGGAGAAGAGCGCGCTAGAGAGACAGGGGGAGTTTGGCATACTGATACCGGTAAACGTAGAGAGACAAAAATAGCCGGCAAGCAAGATGGCGCGGTGGGCATCATCGTGTGGGAAGCTCAGCATAATGCCGAAGCCGATAATGGGCGGAACGCAGAGCATAATGATTATGAGACCTTTGACCTTCCACTTCATTGACACGTATGCACTGACAGAGACGGCTATGACGTGAGAAATTCCCACGGGCACGTTGAAGAGCATCGTGTCAAAAGGATCAGATACAAAGGAATGGATGATGAGCGGACCGAAAGTAGAAATGCCGTTTGAGGGGACTGAGATGCAAAAGATCATGGCCACCCACAGCCATGTCTTTACATCTTGCAGCGCTTCGAAGAAATGGGCCTTTCGCCATTCTCGAGACATGATTCCCATTTGGTTACCTCTCAATCGCTCAATTGCGATTAATTTATCGTCATCATTCAGAAATTTTGCCTCAGTAGGCGAATCAGGCATTGAAACGAACATGGCGACAGCCACGGCAACAGTGACGAGACCAAATGTAAGAAAGATAATCTAGCAAGAAGAGTCAACCCTGAGACAGGCGCGAAATGTCAAAGTCACAAACCTGATAGGGCCGCAAGCTGGAGGTGATGCTGGCGAGCCCGTAAGTAGCAAGACTGCCAAACTGGAATACGTTAAATCAAGTTTAGACATTTGATGCCAAGTTCAACATACTACCCAAGTCAGACCATTCATGCAGTACCAAGATCCGATCCTCATTGTCTGTTCTCTGCATAATGTCAGCTTGCCTGCCCACTGGAACGTCAATAACCAGTGACTTACCTTCTTCGCCACCACATCTGAGTAATGGCCACGAAGCTAGGGCCGACGGAAGCTTCAAATGCGCCCAAGAAGAATCTGGCAGCCATGAGCTGCGGAAACGTGCTTGCCCACGTCGTTGCAGTCAGGGTCAGTCCCCAGCCCAGCACCATGGCGCTGGTAAACTTGCCAATGGGTAGCTTCACCAGCGCCAGCGCTATGGGAAGCTGCATGACGAGCTGCGCTAGAAACACAATGCTCCCCAGCCACGAAAACTCATTGCCCACCAGATTTGTGTCTTCAATCAGGCCAAAAATGGATGCATACGAGAGGGTCGCCTTGTCGAGCGCTTGCAGAAAGTAAACAGAGAGCATCAACGGGAGGAGCGCCCAGTCGATGCGCCGCAGGACCCTCGCATCATCCTTTGGTGAGACGTGGACTCGTTCATTGGGCGAGCGCCCGAGTTTGATGAGCAGCAGAGCAGCCGCATCGCGACAGCCTTCGGGGACAGACCTGTCGTCTATTGAAGTGCCTGCTTCGCTGGGCGCGAGGCCACTGCGGAGCAGCGGCTGCTCAACGTCGTCGGGCGGCGGTGGCGGCGGTGGAGGGCGCACGGCAGTTGAGAAAAAGGAGCGAACCGGCTCCCAAAGCTTCATTATTCTCAGTCAGTTCACCCGAGTTATTCGCATGGCAGGTGTATGCTTCATCTGTGTTGTTGGTATGGGAGGTGGCAAGGGAAGCTAAATGGCCCCGGGGAAATGACGTACTGGAGGCGGTGACCACTGATCAACATCACCGAGTCAGTATTAGCGGTGCGCCTGCCTGCCTACCTACTTGTTGATGGGTAGGTAGGCGCTCGTGTCACCCTGGTGCGTATTACAAATATCTTTCTGGTGAAACTGTTGGGATTTTTTGTGAGATGCAAACAAAAGAAAATACGCAACATACATGACTTTCAGGCGATACTGTATTGAGCTGGGCGTGCCCGGCATGAACTCGAATTGATTGACTGCAAACTGTCCGGTAGCGGCACCGGCGTGCACTTACATACTGCAGGTAGAATATGACTGAAATGTTTCAATCAAGGGCCCGTCCCGGCCATCAGCGGAGAACCAGTTGAGCGCTATTTCCGGTTCAAATCACCTTTTGCGTCTCGGTCCCCTCATCAATCATTATTGCAGCAGGTTGAAAAGCGCCACTATAGCTCATCCGTTCAGTTCATGCACGAATATTAGCCGTGATGGGCAAATTGAAAGAGAGAAAGTAAGCAGAAAGCCAACCCGCATACAGAAACCCGCAATATGTCTGGTCACTGCGATAATGTAGACGACGGTGTGGTGGGTGTTGATCGGATTGATGCACCATGTGCAGGTGGTTATTGCTTTGTACATCCCTCTCCTACTACCTCATGTACACCACTCTCCTACTACCCTCACGTACATCACCCTCCTACTACCCTCAATATATGGCTAACCATCCTTATTCAAGAGAATGGGTAATATTACTTTCTCTGATAAGGCCTCCTTGATATCATTGTCTTCAAGCCCGACGCTGCTCAGAAGACTGAGGCATGTCGCGGGGCCAACCGCTTGCAGCTGCCCTGGTGGGGGGATACAGACACATTTTTATATAAGCGGATAATGTAAGAGAAATAGTCAAGTTACGAGCGAGAATATTTTTTTACCACTTTTAGAAGAGACGTCGCGAGTTGATGCTTCCTCTTATCTGACGTCTTTCAACACACCATACCAGGCATTATATGGTCTTGCCGTACGTGCGTGGTCACATAGTCCAGTATTCAATAAAGTGACTTTTTAGAAACACTCTGTGCAGTGTATCAAGGTGCAGCCGATTTCGGAAAGTAGGTCTAGCAGCATCGACAAAAGGTGCTTCCAGACCGTTCTTGGGTGAAACATGTTCCTGATGCGGGCCAAGCACCGGCCTTTCACGGCCCGAGTTGACCAAATGAAATACCATGGTGTAGATGATATATTGGATTCCAAATGAAGTCTTTGGTGGCTTAAGGCAGGTGATGTGTTACCTCCGGATAGCGATCCGACCAGAACGGGACCTCGCCCGGGACGCCAATAAACGGCAGCCAGTGTGGTCGTTTAAAGCATGAGGTGAAAGGCATACGTTGAATTGACTATATGAAAGTCGATTGTACGACATAGACGATAGTTTTTCTCCTAGAAATTAATGAGCACGTTTGTTCCTGTCCCGTTTACTGCTGTCATTAACCATGTCGAAAGCATCGCGACTCTGCCTTTCATCTGCCCGGCAGGCGCTCAGCAAGCAAAAATCCACTGCGAATAAGAGATGCTTCCGGCGTGGTCCGCCAGATAACTATACTCCGTTAACAATAGCTGAGCCGATGAGAAATGCCCATGGTTCAGCATCGGGTCTTTCCGCGTTGCCTAATGCAGCGCTGTTGCGCTCCCTTTTCATCAATGGTATATCCTCGCGGCCATGGGCACTCTCGCCCGCCATCTCGCTCCTGGTCAAATCCTGCCAACCTAAACCTGCATTTCTCTTTAATATTGCGAAAAAACCCTGTTTTGGCATGGCTTCTCAAGGAAACAGTGTATAAGCAGTTTTGCGCTGGCGAGGCACCAAGCGAAATCAAGTCGACCATGGGCGCCATGAAAGACATGGGCTTCAAAGGGACTATTCTCACATATGCAAAAGAGACAGTGTTTGATCACAAGAACAAAGAGGAGTTTGGTCTTGGGATGAACATGATCCCTACCAACGGCGCTTCTAGCACCGAATGCCCATACATCACATCGTGGAAGCAGGGAACTCTGGACACTGTCAAACTCTTGGGCGAACAAGACCAACTGGCAGTAAAGTGAGCTTACAAATGTCAATTGCGCTTTTATATTACTGACCAGATCTTCTTGGTCTACAGAATTACAGGAGCCGGGCCACGTGTTACATGTGCGCTCGCAGACAACTCCCAACCACCGCAGCAATTTCTTGACGCTGTGGATGAAATAGTGCGAGACTGCAAAGCGCGGGGCGCCAAGATTCTGATTGACGCCGAGTCGCAGCGTTTTCAAGCTGGAATAATGCGCATCGGTCTCGACTTGATGCGAAAGTACAACAGAGATGGCTATGCCGTGGTCTACAACACTTACCAGGCCTATCTCAAGAGCACGCCAACCTCACTAACTTGCCACTTGGCGTCAGCGCTAGACGATAGCTTTACGCTGGGCCTCAAAGTTGTCCGAGGTGCCTACTTGGCTACAGACGAGCGCAGTCTCATACACGATACAAAAGAGGAGACGGACGAGGCCTATGACAGCATTGCTGCAGGAGCTTTGCAGCAACAGCTTCTCGGGTTCGGAGGTGATGAAGACGGTCGCCCGTTCCCGTCAGTCAACCTTTTGCTGGCAACACATAACAAACACAGTGCAGACAAGGCACAGAAACTATACCGCCAGAGAAAAAAGCAGCGACTGCCTACAGTACCAGTCAGTTTTGCACAGCTTCATGGCATGTCTGACCAAGTCAGTTTTGGATTGCTTGCTCTGAATAAGTCGGACGACGCCGGGATAAGTGTATACAAGTGCTCTACATGGGGAAAAATGGCTGAATGCATAGGATATCTTTCGAGGCGTGTGCTGGAAAATCGAGATGCCGCGTCTCGCACGACTGATGAATACAAGACTTTGAAGACTGAGCTATGGCGACGGTTGAGGATGGGTGCTCGGCTCTGGGAGTGCTTATAGTATCGAATTTGACTCTGTCACATTTTTCTACCAAAAAAAAAAAAAATTTACGACGAAACCTTCCGCAATACTCGTCTCTAACAGTTCTACGTACAAGTTATGCCAGCCCGTGCATCTCGCGGTCTGGTCCGTTTCTCCACATCGGGAGCGTTGCCGATGAGCAAGATGCTGTACAAAAAGCGAGTAACACAGCAAAGGTGATAGTTTCGACATTCCCTGAAACTTCACCATTTTATTAAAATTGAGCACTTTGAACCAGAAATTATATCTCTACAAGAATGACTCCCTACGAAACACAGACGTTGTGTATTTTTGGATGTGGTAAGTGCGGGGAGGTTAGAGCGGATGGCGCCGCCGTTACTGACAGTGACAGGAAACTTGGGAAGAGCCATTTTGACCAAACTGGTCACTTGGAATGAGTCTCCGTTTTCCAAGATATTTGCCGTTGTCCGAACAGAAGCATCGAAAAGGAAGCTAAACGAAGCTTTTGGCAAGCAACTAAGCGTGCTATTGGCCAACGAAGGCGTGGCAGCAGTCCGAGAATCGGACGTTGTCATGTTGGCCGTAGATCCAGCCGACGTAGCCGCGGTACTGCAAAAGCCTGGATTTCGAAAGGCATTGGGTGAGAAACTACTGATAAGCATTGCTGCCGGCTGGCCCAGTACCCGAATCGAGGATGTCCTGTATGGGAAAACCGCCAGCGGCCAAGGACATGCACACATCCTGCGCGCACTGCCCAACATTGCCGCGTCCGTTGGCCAGTCATTCACAGCCCTGGCAGTTCCGGCAGAATGCTCGATACCAGAGCAGCGCATTGCCCTCGCAGAACGCATCTTTGCCCGCGTGGGCCAGACGGCCCGGGTGCCGCCGTCTCTGATGGAGGCGACCACGGCCGTCGCAGGCTCGACGCCCGCCATGTTTGCCGTGCTGTGCGACGCGCTGATTGACGCCTCTGTGGCTGTCGGCATGCCCCGTCAGATGGCCGAGGCGATGGTGGTACAGTCGATGAGGGACAGCGCGGAGCTGCTGCTGCAGAACGGCGGCATGTCGTGCGCGACGCTGCGAGATGCCGGCACCAGCCCGGAGGGGTGCACAATGGCCGCCATCATGGTTATGGAGGAGCGCGGAGTTCGCGGCGCTGTTGGTCGCGCTCTGAGGGAAGCGGTGACGGCGGCGCGGCGGATGGACAGTGTCCAGCATGTCAATGATACCTGGCGTTGATGAATGGGTCTTAAAGTGTTAAGGTGCCGTCGGCAGTGGTGGACGTATCGTCGCAGGGCATGGCTTTAGTAGCAGCTAGTTTTTTTTTTTTTTTCGTAAAATGAACAAGGAAATTTTTTAATAGATACTCTGATGGCTGCCTTTTGCCGACAATGTCTTTTTCCATCGCAATAATTGCCGGTGCGGTACTAACTGACAAGGCAACTGGATCAGGGCTCCGCCTGGACTGTGGTTCGGCACTCTTTTACGGTGCACCATTACACGTGCCACTTTTGTAAAGTTACTCTTCGTCACTAAAGCACTTAAAATTCGTGATTAGGTAAATTACAAAGTGTGATATATACTATATTACACCATGTTATACAGTACTACTTTCTATTCCTTGCTTTCTACTGTCATCTTCAGTAAACCCCCAGCCATTTACACACAGCACTTGCACCATAAAGGTTTGAATTATAAGTTTTGGTGTGGGAATGGATACTATGCGTCATAGCTGATTGTTGAATAGCAGCGAAGAGAAAGACCTAATCTAGAAGCTACTAACCTATGCTTGTACACGATATAGTATCGCCACTGCAAAGCATTCTTGTCGGGCGCATTAAGGCCCGAACAAGACCATCAGAGTACTAGACCGTGCTTAGCAGTTCTCGCTATAGACACAGACGCAGGTTCTGTTTAAATCTAGTTAGTTGCTATAGTTTTCAAATGCTGCCTGTTGCACTTACGCCCAGCCACTCCCGCCACAGCTGCCGCCGGTAGGCTTGATAGTTCTGCCGTTGCTGCATTTCTTGACGACGTCCTAGACACTTACGTTAGCATTGGTGTGGAGACTTGCCTGCATAACTTACGTTGCGGCACTATAATGTAGTTAGTTAGCAGTAGTTCATTAAGAGAGTTTGGTGGTTGGTGTCACATACGTGGAATGAGCATTGAGACGTGCTCCAAGGGCACCCGTAGCCACGGGCGTTGATTTCATTGCGGGCAATGAGCTCAACGCCATCTCTGACGGCGAGTACGGGCTCAGCATCATCGACAGGGGCAGCCATGGCAATGGCGCTGAGAGAAGCAATGGCAAAGAGACTAGTAAAGGCCTTCATGATGAAGAGAAAAGCGAAAAGAGATTGAGTTGAGTAAGATTTGTAGGAATATGAATCGGAATTGTTGATAGAACTAAAGTCAATAGCTGTGGGAAGGATCCCTCGTTTTTATACTTTTCTTCCTAACTATCAACTGAAAGAGGCTGAATTAAGACGGCTCATCGTAATCGAGCCGTATTACTCGGTATTGAATGCTAAGCATAATCACCCCGAACATTCTCCCGCTTGCTGAAAAGAACATAGTCGTATGCATTAAGCTGCGCCCGACGGTCATAAGACATTACATGCGGCTGATCGGCCGGGGTTCAGATCTCTTCCCCGTTTGAGGCGTCAGCCCTAAGTAACGGTCAGCCTCTCAGACAACCTTTACGGTCAGCCCCAGCCTTATACATGGGTAAGGTTTAACCATACCCCGTTTTCAGCGCCAACATTATTAACGGTAATTAGCAAGCGGACCGATTGTTCCCAGCGTATCGCGTATCATAGCCCAGCGCCTCTAGGTACCTAGGTATCGCGAGAGATACTCAGCCGTCCTCCTTAGGTTGGCTGCTAAGGCAGTAGGCTGATTTCACGGATAATATGTTCAATCCTAGTAAGGATCAGCTCTTAATCCACTGTGATACATTCCAGCCCATGCCTTGGCTTTCGGCTCCTTGCTGGAACACTTTGGCAAACGGGCGGCGGTCTGTCACTGGCGTAGGCACAGGCATGGTGGTACCTATTTTAGTGGCTGTGCGCACGCTAAATAGCCTGTGAGGTCCGGTACCTCAACTTTCCTCTTTACGCGCAGCATAATGCCAGTACCTGGTCCCCGGCCCGCTGTCCGCGCCGGGCGGCGACCTTTCTCGCCCAACCTGGCGACGAAAACCGTGACACTTGGCCTGCACAATGACACTTAGCCTGCAACAATGGCAACCAACGTCAAATCTACTGCTCCGCGCGTACCTCCACTAGGTGTTTGGGCGCCAGCGGTGACATTCTACCAGAAAAACTCGGAGGACCTGGACCTCCAAGCGCAGGCCCTCTTCTTCTCCCATCTTGCGCGGTCTGGACTTGCCGGTCTGGTGGTCATGGGCACCAACTCGGAAGCCTTTCTCCTCACGAGAGAAGAGCGCGCCAGCCTGATCAGGGCAGCGCGAGAAGCAGCCGGACCAGACTTCCCCATCATGGCTGGCGTGGGATCGCACTCTACCAAGCAGGCACTCGAGCTGGCCCGAGATGCCGCCGACGCGGGGGCCGACTACCTCTTGGTGCTGCCGCCGGCCTACTTTGGCAAGGCCACCACCATGGCGACGGTGAAGCGCTTCTTTGCCGAATTCGCGGCCGCCGCTCCGCTCCCTGTTGTCATTTACAATTTTCCGGGCGTCTGCAACGGGGTAGACGTGGACTCGGAAACAATCTCGGCCATTGTGCGCGAAAGCGCATCGCGGCGGGCCGATGGCGTGTCCAACGTCGTGGGCGTCAAGCTGACGTGCGGCTCCGTCGGCAAAATCACGCGTCTGGCTGCTGTGCACCCGCCAGACACTTTTGCCGTCTTTGGCGGCCAGTCCGACTTTCTCATTGGCGGCCTGGCGGCCGGCAGCGCGGGATGCATCGCCGCGTTTGGCAACGTCTTTCCCAAGCTCACCGCCGAGGTGTACCGGCTGTACGTGCAAGGACGCACGGAAGAGGCAATGAAGCTGCAGAGAGTCGCGGCCCTGGCCGAGTCCCCGTGTAAAAGCGGCATCGCCGCTGTCAAGTATGCGGCGGCTTGCTACGCTGCCGAGATGGCGGGCATTGATGAGGCTCAGGTCAAGCTGCGGCCAAGACATCCATATGAGGAACTCGGCGAGGCGGCTAGAGGCCCGTTGCGCAGTGCAATGGAAGAAGCTGCGGGCATAGAACGCAAACTGTAAATACATCATATCATGGTTCATCTAAATACGACCATTTTGCTTCATAATTCTCGATAAAGAGGTGAAAAAAAAAAAAAAAAAAAAAAGAAAAGAAAAGATTCGCATTTCTACCATCACCGATAGACAAGAGCATCTGCTAGCTTCGCAGTCCACTCTAACCGATATAATTCGTCAAAGATCCGGTATTTTGTACATTTTCACTAGTTGTTGATAGGTACTTGTTGCCTATGAAAGCTGAAATCGGCACGTATTGTGCATCTCGGGAACGCATCCGTAGCGTCGGCTACCCTCCCGACTTGGCGACGTCATCAAGCCTTATGGACAGTAAAGACTATCCTCTAATCTGCGGGGAATCCATGTACCCCGCATCTACCCTGGCCATAATGGGAATAATTCGCCGATCAAATGCACTGGTTAATCAGCCATCTCTGTTGGGCTGTGCAAAGGGGGTGTTGCTCTTGACGTAAGCGAATGACTGAATATATGGTGGGCTGCTGCAGATCACGACACGGATTTGTTTGCTTGTAAATTTTGTGCATCCTTTGAATCAGTCCATCTCCGCCTTTTTAGAAATTTGGCGACAAAAAAAAAAAAAAAAAACCATTCACAATGTCTTCTTTTAAAGAGGCAAGTATAAGTGCAGACACGGAGAAAGGAACCGCAACCAAGACAGCGAGCGAGAACAGTAGTCTCCGGGCTGGTATAGTAGAGCACCGAGAGAATGACAACAACAACGACAACAACAACAACAGCGAAGCCGCTACAGAAAAGCACTCGAATCTCAAGCGGAACCTGGGAAACCGCCAAATCCAACTAATCGCCATTGGCGGCTCTATTGGCACAGCAACCTTTGTGACCATCGGCGCCGGCCTCGCGCAAGCCGGACCGGCAGGCCTCTTGCTCGCCTACCTCGTGCAGTGCTGCTTCGTGGCCCTCGCCAACAACAGCATGGCCGAGATGGCCGTCTTGATGCCCGTCAGCAGCGCCTTTATCCGCATGGCCGGCCACTGGGTCGATCCTGCGCTGGGCTTCCTGGCCGGCTGGAACTTTTTCTTTTACGAGGCCGTCAACATTCCGTTTGAGATTTCCGCCATTACCGTCGTTTTGGGATTCTGGCGCGACGACATTCCTCCAGCAGCAGTGGTTGCAGTTTGTATAGTACTGTATTTGTGTGTCGCCCCCCCCCCCTTTTATGATCTAATCAACCCTGCAGGATATGTATCTGCATTTTTACATTACTTTTCTTGGACTGACCTGTGAAACTATAGCACTGTCAATGTTTTTGCCGTTCAATGGTTTGGCGAGAGCGAATTTTGGCTGGCGACTGGCAAGATATTCCTCACCGTTATTCTCTTTTGCTTCACCTTCATCACCATGGTCGGTGGCAATCCTCAGCACGACGCATACGGCTTTCGCTACTGGAGAAGCCCTGGCCCTTTTGCAGAGTACCTGGCCACAGGGAATCTGGGCCGCTTTCAAGGCTTCCTGTCCGCGTTATGGAGCGCCGTCTTTACCATTGTCGGCCCCGAGTACGTTTCCATGCTCGCAGGCGAAGCCATCTTGCCACGACGAAATTTAAAAAGTGCCTTTCGCGCCACGTATGGCCGCTTGATATTCTTCTTTCTGCTCAGCGCTATATGCGTGAGCATCGTCATCCCGTACAACGACCCGGCTCTGGTGGATGCGCTCAGCTCTGGTAAAGGCTCCGCCGCCACGGCATCGCCGTACGTGATTGCAATGGAGAATATGGGGATCCATGTACTGCCTCACATTACAACTGCTCTCCTTATCACGAGCATCTTCTCGGCAGGCAATGCATACACTTACTATGCTAGTAGGAGTTTGTATGGCCTTGCGCTCGAGGGGCAAGCCCCGGCTTTGCTAGCAACGTGCACAGCCTCTGGAGTCCCCATTTGTTGCCTACTTGTTACCATGATTTTCCCTTGCTTGGCGTTTCTCAACGTGTCCAGCAGCACAGCAGACGTCTTGACCTGGCTCATCAACTTGGTCACCAGCTCCGGCATCATCAACTACACCATAATCAGCGTCACTTATCTGTTCTTCTACCGTGCAACCCGCTTTCAAGGCCTCGATAGAAAACAACTTCCATATTACGGATACGGTCAGCCATATGCAACGATTGCTGCCCTTTTATATTTCCTCGCAGTCCTCGGTGCCAATGGCTATGCCATCTTTCTACCCGGAAATTGGGACGTCAAGGGCCTATTTACTCACTACACCATGATATTCCTGAGCCCAGTGCTGTACCTAGGCTGGAAAATTATTCACAAAACTCGAATAATAACCGCCGACCAAGCGGATCTTGTCTGGGAAAGCACTGCCATTGACGAGTACGAACAATCTTATGAAGGGGAGATCTCTCGCGGCTCTTGGTGGGAGATTCTAAATATATTTCGTTGCAGGGGTCTTAGAAACAGAGTATCCTAAAAATGAAGTATCACATAGCAGGAAACAATAGATTTCTTCAAGTGTCTAGCATCACGCTCCGTCTCGGCTATTTATTTGGTCGCACTTGTATCTGTTGGGTGGAAATGACCGCCTTCTTGGTAGGTGACTTTTTCAGTTATTGCTTGGATATGTGAAGCAAGTGAGAGGGGCAAACTCTTCTTTCACAGTCCTGGGGCTGGTGAATCTTCTAAGCACATCTGAGCTGCCGGCCTTGTCATTTGTTCCACTAGATCTGGCGCCACCAAAAGATTGTTGGCCAATAAGAGCAGCGGTTGTCTTGCAATCTATATAAATTTAGCAGATGATTCTTTCCACATAAAGTAATAAAGTTGAAGTCAAACTTACTAATATAAAAATTGCCGGCTGCGTAGCGAAGAGCATCTTCTGCTTGTCGAATTGCGGATCGACTCTTGGCAAAGACGGCTCCTGTCAGCGCAAGACCCCCGCCATTTCTGTCTATACTCTCCAGAATACAAGACCACTCAGAGTCTTCATAGACATAAACTGCCAAAACAGGTCCAAAGATCTCCTGATTCATAAGATTGTGGTCTGGAGACGAGACCCGATACACAGTTGGATGGACATAATAGCCCACAGATCCGTCATATGTACCTCCAGCAACCAATTCTACTGAAGAATCGTTTTTGCTGGCGTCAATAATGGAATTGATCTTGTTGAATGAATCCTTGTGAATGACAGGACCCATGAAAGCACCCAGGTCACCATCAGGGCTCCCCATGGTGATGGCGGCCACGCCCGCTTTGAGCTGAGAGAAGAACTCGTCGGCGCGAGATTGAGGTATGTAGACCCTTGAAGTAGCGCTACACTTTTGTCCCTGATATTCGAATGCGCCACGGATTGTATGGTTGACGGCACTGGATATATCGGCGCTCGGGTGGAGGAGATGGAAATTCTTGCCGCTCGTCTCGCCAATAACACGCGGAAACTCGCGATACGTCTTGTTGCCGATGCCCTCGCCAATGCGTGCATAGATTTTCCTAAACACATCTGACGAGCCAATAAAGTTGAGACCCGCAAAGTCGCGGTGCGATAAGACTGCCTCGGTGACTTTGGCGGCATCCCCAGGCACAAACTGAATGACGCCGGGAGGCAGGCCGGCCTCGAGCAAGATTTGGTAAACCAGCATGCTGGCGTAGACGTTGTACTGTGACGGCTTCCAGAGCACCACGTTGCCCATCAGCGCCGGCGCAGAAACTAGGCTACCACCCAGCGCAGTAAAGTTGAATGGAGAAACCGCGTATACAAAGCCTTCCAAAGGACGATACTCGACCCGTCTGCGAATTCGTCAATAAAATGTGTCACTACCAGCACCCGTTGAAGACTCACGTCCACATGCCGTCCGAACCACGTTGGGGTTGGCGACTCATAATCTCTGCAGCGTAGTTGCAGTGAAGACGGAAAAAGTCGGCCAGCTCGGCTGCCGCATCAATTTCCGCCTGCCAGACATTCTTGCCCTGACCGAGCATCGTCGCTGCAACAAGCTGGTGGCGGTACTTTCCCGCGACCAGCTCCGCAGCTTTGAGAAACACGGATGCCCGGTCGACAAAAGGCGTATCCTCCCATTCTTTCTTGACTGCTAGCATCGAGCTGATGGCATGCTCGACTTGCTTGCGCGACGCAAGGGGGTAGTTGGTAAAGACGGTGCCGTGCTCACCGGGGAGTACCTGGTCAAGAGACTCGGATGTGCTTTGTACTTGGCCTTCGCAAATGACATGGCTTCGCAGAGGGAGCGCAGCCCGCAGCCTCTGCAGCTCTTGTTGTACTTTTTGGCGCTCAAGTGATCCTTTGCGATACTCGAACTACATGATGGTGTTAACGTGCGAGGAATGGATGTGAAATGGCCCCGTCGCTTACGTTGGGCTCATTCCTCTCATCAGGTAGCCGAAACGGCATGGTTGATCTCATTCGCGCTTGAGATTTGAGCGATACGGCCGCAGAGGCTCTTGATGAAAGCATAACCCGCCGAGGGCCTGCAGTAGCCCGCATCTGTGACCAGGCGCACGACAGTGCCATTTCGTATTTTTTTTTTCAGGATATTGACTTGTATTGAAAGAATTCTCGTAGTCTCCTTACGCATCTACTGTGCTTTAAATATTGACATTGAGCCATGCACGCGTTGGTTATGCGCAATGGGCATTTGGTGCATGCGTAGTCGGCAACTACCCATCCCGGGGACGGGCCCGAGTGGGTCGGGTACCATACCGGCTTATACACACTCGTCCGGAAGGGCTTGCGAGAGATGTAGGCCAGGTGACAAGAGACAGGCCTGATCATGTAAAAGCTCCAAGTATTGCTATGATGGCAAGGTATCATCAATTTTAGAAGCATTCAAGCCATGGAGCAACCCTCAGCATACAGTATTGCCCAAGCTCTTGCTGGCGACGTAGCTGCTGCGTCCTTGTCGGCGGCACTTGTTGCGCCATTTGTGGCCGCGATTGACAGGTACACAAATATGCATGACATTTCTACCCATTTCACAGTTTCTGGCTTACGCAAAAATAACAACAGATCGGTAACTGAAAAAGCTGTTTCCCAGAAACCTATACTCGTAACGCTCAGAAAGCAAGCGAATGAATGGGCGCGACATCCACGCCGGCTATTCAGCAGCCCCGTCCACATTGTGTGGCTCCTCTACGCAGCGACTTATACTGCGGCGAATACGAGCGAAACAGTGATGAAAAGGTTCGGTGCCAGCTGGCCGGTAGAATCATTCAAAGTAGCAGCAACGCTATTAGTCAATGTACCCTCGGGAATATGGAAGGACGTCCGCTTTGCACACATCTTTGGCGTTGCCACTAACAAGACAGCACTTGCTTCACGCCCGCCAGTGGTTAGAGCACGCCGGCTGCCGACGCAGGCGGCGGTCGTGTTTCTGGTTCGAGATGGCCTCACTATATTCGGTGGCTTTTGTTTACCCGATCTACTCACAGGTGCCATCGCTGGCCAGCATCGCTCGCTGAGCACCACTACGCAAATCGTTCTTGCGCAATTGATGGCGCCGCCATTAGTGCAGATTGTGGCCACGCCCATTCACTTGCACGGCGTTGGGCTTTGTGCGGGAACAGGAAACATTCGGCAGCAGCCTTTCAACGCAGGAGCAATCCTGGCGGCCACGGTGGCGCGTTGCCTGAGGATGATTCCTGCATATGGTGTAGGATGTCTGGCTAATACTGAGTTTAGACGTGTCTTTGAAAGTGTACGTTGGGGTGCAAAGGAGAATATTTCGCGGCTTGCTTGAGGATGTGAGTGAGACTTTGGTGGTGTAGCCTCACAGTAGCACACCACTTTCTTTACAGTTGATAACTAGTCGACATTTGCACTGTTCATTCAATACACAACGGCGCACCAAAAAGATTACATCATCGTCAGTAAATTAGTTATGCAATAATAGCTAGCTAGAGCAATTCAAGGTCAATAATCACGTCGAACATACTGTCGAGTATCTCTGCAGTAGTTTGCCGCGCTCGGCACCGAGCCCGGCGCCCGGATACCCGCCCGATGATCGCATCCGATACCGCAGACCCCAGGCTTCGTTATTCGCTCGGGTAGGTATTTTTATCCAACGTTGGGGACACGAAGAACGAACCTCCTTTTAAGTCTCTCTATTTGCATTATCGATTTAGTGATTCAAGGCAACACAGTAACACGGTCGTTCAACAATATTAATATGCCAGACCAAAGAAACAAAACCATATTCATTATTGGTGGTGGAGCGTTTGGGTTATCGACCGCCCTTTACCTGGCAGAGGCGGGCTATCAAGATGTGACCGTCCTTGAACGGGATCTCCAGATTCCGCCTCGATATTCAGCAGCCAACGACCTGAACAAGATTGTGCGAGCCGAGTACGAAGATTCATTTTATACTGAATTGACGCTGGTACCATCTTTCTTCTGCATTTCCATCGATACGACGATATGTTTTGTGCAAAAGACACCCGCTAACGCTGCCAACAGAAAGCCATTGATGCGTGGAAGACGCCACTCTTTGCGCCGCATTTCCACCAAACCGGATTCTTGCACTGTGTATCCCCCGCGGCTTCCACCAAGGCAGTACAGACTCTAGAGCGATTCAGACAAGCTGCTATGAGTAGCGAGCACTTACGGCCCCATGTCGTCCCGATTGAAAATGGAGAGTGTGCGAGAGCTGCGGTAGCGAGCCTGCGGGACTGCCTCATGCCTGGATGGAGGGGCTACTTCAACCGCTACGACGGATATGCCCACTCGGCCGACGCTCTTGCGTGCGTGTACAAGAAGATAAGAGAGTTGGGCGTCAAGGTACTGCTTGGCCCTGACGGCCATGTTGAAGAAATAGTCTATCGCACAGTGAAGGGCACGCGAGTCGCTACTGGGGTGCGTACCGCCAGCACCGAGCACCTTCCCGCAGAACTTGTCATTGTGGCCGCTGGAGCGTACGCTTCTACCTTGGTCCCAAGAATTGGTCGCCAAATTGTAGCCAAGTCCTGGTCCATTGCCCATGTTCAGCTCACAGAGACCGAAGCCGCCGCTTTGGCAGGCATTCCCGTCACCTATGCGAGAGACTTCGGCTTTCTCTTTGAGCCTGACCGAAAGACAAAGCTGTTGAAGCTTTGCCCCATGGGCGGCGGCTACATTAACACAAATCCAACCACGGGTGTATCCGTGCCGCCTACGAATCTCGGCTGCAGCAATTTTATGCCTCCCGAGGATGAGCGCAAGGTGCGGCAGCTACTGGCAGACGTGTTTCCAGCTCTTGCCAATCGACCATTGGTGAAGAAGCAGCTCTGCTGGTTTGCGGACAGTAGTGATTCCGATTTTGTCATTGATTACGTGCCGGACACGTCGTCTTCGGTCATGATTCTGTCAGGAGACTCTGGGCATGGGTTCAAGATGTTTCCCATTTTTGGATCTTGGGTACTCGACCTTTTGGAATCAGACTCGCAGACGCAAACCATCGGACGCTGGAAGTGGAAGTCAGAGAGCGGTGGCGCTGGTGGAAAGGATGACATTAGCTGGCGGGTAGGTGATGTGAGGGAATTTGAAGAAGTCGCACCGATTAAAGAAAGACTATAGCCTGCACATATTCCGCACATCTCTCAGAAGCATAGCCAAAACAAGTTTAGTATAATTTATTGCTGTTTCAACATTTGCATTATTGTTCAGAAAACGCGGTCAATAACCTCTTCCGAGATCCAATCATTCTGGTCCCGGTTGATTGAGTTTACCATGTCCATAATTTGCGCCGTTGAGAACCCTGCATTGAGGAACTCATCTGTGAAATCACCTCCGGATATAGGCGTGCGCAGGCCGTGATCAATCCGAGTTGGCACGAGGCCACTGGGAGTCTCACACGAATAGCCTGTGATGATAGTGTCTGCTGGCCCAGCTGGTGGTGGCCCGGCGGCTTCAGCTTCCACAAACTGCTGAGCAAGTTGCTGTAGCTGCCGAAGCTCGGCCTGCTCAGCCTGCGCTATCAAGTTTCCGCTGGTGGAAAAAAGATCAAAAGCAGCAAAGGCTTTCTGTAGCCCGCTTGCAAACCCATTGGCTGGCTCGGGGAGCACGACGGATGCGACAATGATGTTTGTCGCCGACGTGTGAAGCGCCTCCAAGTCAAAAGGTAGGAATGTCTCTGCGAATATTAAAAAAAAAAAAAGTAAGAAATTTCGTTTCCACAAGACCAGTACGGCTCTCACCTAAAAGGTCTTGCTCGTCCAAAGCGGTAATTATGGTGATAATCTGCAGTGATGACTCGAGGCACATTGAGAGCATGTTCCTAGCTGTTTCCGATGATGCTAACAATTCTGAACAGCCAGCTGATGAATCGAGGCGTATCTTGTAAAAGCAGAATAACAAGGGCCGAGTAGCGAGAATTATACACTGGCACAGGAATGTCAGTTCCAACTAGGCCTCTACCACGAGCGACGGCTCAAGCTATACCTGGTGATAAAGAAGATGTAAATGGGCCGATAGCCGCGAAATGCAGCTGGTAGAGTCATCGATTGACAATGGAAATTGAGATTGCAACTTGTCAGTTAGCTCCGCAATCCCTGTGAGAGATGTTTTAGTTTGCAGCAAAAAGTCGCGCTGCAGTCGTCCATCAGCAGCATATACGGCTGTGATGATGCCAGCCAGCCATGTCAGCACAGGATCCCTTTATATGCTACACATTACAGCACAGCAACTTACTTCTATCTATCCCCACAATAAATTGTGACAGCTTGATACGCATCAAGAATGCTGCTGTACGAAATGCATCACCATCAAAAGTGGGCAGCGCCGAGCGCGCATGTTCGTCGCTGAGAGCTGGGGGAAGACCCATCAAGGATGTCATCTCCTTGTCGAGTACATAGACAGTCCACCATATGCGACGCCATCTTTGAACCAGAGACTCATCCAAATGGCGCGGTGGCGTGTCTGTATGCATGCCCTGACTCAAGGCTAATCGCAACGCCTGGCCAATCTGTACAAAGTCAGGACAGGCAACCGGGCCCCCCTTCCCGTACAATGAGGGCACTCACGTGGTTATAAGCCGAGCTCCGATGATCAATACTCTGAAAGTACAGAGATGTACAGCACAAAATCTCGATTGCTTCCTCCGGCTCTCTCCACAGCGTAATCGGCTCAGGCAAGAGACTCATGGCCGCGCAGAAGAAATCCGCACCTGGTGGTCGGCGCCCGCGGCTCGTCTTGGTAACAAGAGCCTTTCCGAACGCGAGAACGAGCAGAAAGTGAATGTACCAAAGACCGGTCCTGGCTACACTGGGCCTGGGCTCGGCATAAAATTGGCACAGTTTCCGCATGAATTCTTCTTGGTCGAATAAGTGAAAGACTTGGCCGCAGTGAAACTTTACCATATTGACCAAGTGTATAGCGTAGTCAACGGTGGGCACTGCGGGCGTATTCTTTGCAGTCGAGGTACCGTCCTCTGCGCTTAGCTCATAAGTTTCGGCGTCGAAGCGAAGAGTATTCGAGGACGTCGTGAGACTGCAGTCTGCATATTGCTGGGTGAGGTTGAGCAATCTTCGAGTAAATGACCAGTTGGATGATGTGCCAAGATAGACTAAAGTGTCCAAGCGTGAGCAAAACAAATTGACTCATGATACAGGGTATACAGTTTTGCGCTTACATGTCCTGCCTGAATCTGACGTGACAAAGACTGCATCTGTGGACATGGGATTGGTGAGAGATGCGACTGAAAGAGATGTTGAGTTACGCATAGACGTCCATTGTGTCTCATCTTCTGATGTAGAGTGTGATTGAATCAGTTGATTGCCATTCACTTGATCAGAAATCTGATGGTCGGTTTCTGGCGGGCTGGGATGTCCCGAGTTGTTCGGTACGGTGCCATTACGGAATCGCTCTTGGCCATTAACAACACCTCCTTCAAGACCGATTGCAGCATCAAGCGGTTGATCTTCACTCACTCTACCTGACGTGGAAGTGGTCTCTTGGACCGAATTTCCTTGCAGCGCAGCAATCTTTTCTTCAAGTGAGGCAAGATATCTTTTACATTTTTTTTTTAGCGTCCATCGATAGACTGCCAAAGATGACGTACCTACCCGCGAGTGACTAGTATCTTTTGATCGTGGTCATTAAGTGACAAGACAGCTTACGCCGAGTGCAAGCATCACAAGGCCTTTGGCCTGTGCATTTGACTTTTTGGCGCCGACATCGAGTGCAGCTGAAGACGGGGTTAGAAATGAACTCGCAGGTTGCCGTGCACGCGAGGGTGCATACGCATTGGACGATCTCTTTACCACGCGATGCTGATTTGCTGACGTCGGACTCTTGTCCGGCGGATTCGAGGGCATTTCGAGAAGAGAAAGATGCAAACAAAGGGCTGAACTCGTTTCAAGATAAGCTGCGGGATGAATGCCGGTTGTCAACATAGTGGTTGGTGGCCTAGCGCATCTCCCCGCACTTGATCAAAGCCCAGTGGTAAGCCTTGTCCGATCGCGGACAGGAGATGCTGCAGGCCAAAGAAAGGCTGTTGAGAAGATGGCTGAAAGTTGATTTACAACCAGCAATTATTGATTTTACAAGTGAGCCAACTTAACAAGTACGAGAAGAGCCTCTGGTAAGATCTGTACACCGGCTGACGGGAAAGTACTATTGTACTCGGAAAATTTGGCAGTAACGTGGTCCCGAGGGGGGCTAAAAAGGCATGAGACGAAGTAATTGACCCAAAAACTTGATTATATGGATTAAAGATAGACAGAAGCATCCTAGCAATGTGTAGTTGTAATAAAAGGGCTCAGCTGACACTCGCCCAGAGCCAAATTATAACTAGGCAGCACGAATACATACAAGACAGTTCGCATATCTACAGGATAGAGACGTGCAAGTTTCGAGTAGAGCTTATTACGGAATTTTTCGTGCATGACTACTTGCAAGTATATCACGTCGTTGGGGTACGTTGCAAATTAATGACACCTTTGCTAGCCTCAAGGAAGCAAAGAATGCCTCAACGCTTTTATCGAGAATGACGAATGCCGCTTTTGATAGCCAACTGCTTTTACTAGGAGTAAAATTCCATACTAATATCGTTTACATGATGTCCAGGTAGCTCTCACCCACGTTGGGCATATCATGTCCCCGGTGCACTGAACATCTTCATGAAGCCATTTATCGAGCATCACTTGCTGACAATGCTCAGTATGATGCCACTGCATCATGTAAGTGTCAATGGGCGTTTTCTCCAACAGTGCCTTGTGCATTCTCTTCCACATGTACTTTTTGGCAATGTCAGCAGAGGCCGGCTACGACCGAAGAGAAATGCACACTAACCGCACAATGAATGTCGTGGTACTTTCTTTGAGTGAAGAGCTTGGGATGATCACCACGAAAGACCACTTCGAGAGGCACCTGCGAGTCGGGTCGCAGTTTCGGCTCCGTGTGCCAGGTGAATTCAGTTCGGTTCATGAACTCGTGAATCATCTTCTCGTCGTAGCACTCGGGGCGAACCCAAACCCAGCCCATGGGGTCGAATACGCATCCTTTTGCACGAGCCTGTTCAACTGTATTATCCGAGCCACAGTCTCCAAAGTCTCGTTGCGATCGTGATGCGATGCCATGAACAGCTGCGGCCGTATACACAACGGAAACCGTGCATAAAACGACAACAACGCCAACAAGAAGCTGGATGTACCGTTTTGGTTTGTCAAATCGCAGGCCAGGAATGACTTCGCGGTGGTGCTCTAGAAGCGTTGTACTAGATTCGTCATCACTCCCCGTAAAGGGAGTGTCGTGAAATTCTTTGGCCGAGGACATTGTTTCTTTGTATGCAATTGGACTTTTTCGAATAATGCTACTATCTTGTTGGAAGAAGATGTTACAGAGAGAGAAGTGCAGAAGTGGTGCTTCACTTGTGTGATGTACCGAGTTATTCTACTTTGGCGCCGAGACGAACAGATAAGTTGCGGCAATCTCCGCACTAACTCCAAGGGTCTATATGATCGGAGTTCAATAAAGCTGAAGGATCATATCTGCTGAGCAAATGTTGCATATGCAGCGGTCAAGCTGACAGCTACAGCCTCGCCGGCCGGCTCTGAGAATCACGCCATCACAATGGGAGGAAGTCAGCTTTCAAGCTCGCAGAATGCCGGCTTGTTCAGCCGCCCCCGTGAATACGGTCTAGTACAGATTGAGACTTGACAACGCATAGTTTTTCGCGGTTTCATCATGCGCGGTGAGCAATAAAAAGAGCGCCTTAGTCTGCTACAGCCTGATTGCAACGCCACGATGAATCCTTCGGAACCTCGGCAACAATAGTGCAAGTTAGACCACCTACACATACATGTCATGCACTCCATAGTAGGTACAGAAAATCTATAATCACTCTTTTACTATTGTATCAATACACTCTTTTACTATAGTAGCTAGCTAGGTAGCGCGTACTGCGGCGTACTTCACACAAGTGGGTCGATGGACCCTCCAGAGCCTCTTTGCACGCAAAGACATGCATGGGAGCTGTTGGGCTTTGGCGTCTTTAGCAATAACATTGGTTAGAGTAAGATGTATACCAGTACTTGCCTACGTTGCCGTTCTAATAGGTGGCGTTGTGGTTTGATGCACAGCGACCATGCTGGACGGTGTCATCAAGTCAATAAACTAGCATCATTGCGATGCCACATCAACAATAATGGGTCCTCCAGCAGTAATATTCAGGGTTTTGAAGTTCTCTCGCCGCTTTTGAGTCCTGACAGGGTTTCCCTGGCTGGCATCGAGGTGATCAGAACTGATACTTTGCAGTTACGCGTCGGTTGCAAAATGTGTTGATGGGTACAGTGAGATATTAGTCTGAGGAGGAGCGGGTTCCAGAGTGTAGTACTGCTAGAAGTATACCCATTCACTTTGAAGTGCGTTTCGCGAAATCCTTGTCCCAAGGTTCGCAAGTTTTCCATTCAACATTGAGTCTGGCTATTCCGTGCCTGTAAAAACGACAATTTCTAAATTGCAGAAGAAGTTCAAGATGAAATACACGTCGCTTCCATTACATGACGAGCATGATGAGAAAATGCAACAAGCTAGCATTCGGAATTCGCATGCACGGGCTCATGTTGTCGCGCCATGGTTTCTTGCTGTGTTTTTTGCCTCTCTGTCTCTGTTTCTCGGAGTTCGCCTTGAGCAAGATTGGAGATTGAAAAGTACGCTCGGCACATTTGCTGATGGATATGCCACAGACTTTGGTTCGGAATACCTCCACCCATGTCCTCACGTCACTGACATTGTTCAGTCTCGGCTCGAAAGCATATTCAGGTCGCTCGACAACAGTTTACTGGATCCCCGGCCTTCGATGACAGTGGCAACATTTTTGTGCCCAACCCCAGTCAAACCAGATTTGTTGGCGATCCTGCGATATATCCGGAGATTGATCACAACTGGGATAACATCACTTGGGGTGCGTTTTGTGCCAGGTGTCAAGATGCATTTGTATATTGACGCGTAGATGGCAGGTCGCTATATTGTTATTACAAAGAAAGAAGCAATCGAAACTTGGGGAACCTCGATCGATCAGTACTGGGACAAGGATCGCGGTGGCTATGTCGCAGGGTGAGTTCTCAACCGTCGCAAAGCCTACTCGAAGGACGTGGCTATCTAATCTAGCCTTGATTTTAGAGTTGATTTATTTCACACTCTCCATTGTCTGGTAAGTCGCTCACTCATAAATCACAATAGCAATCTTAACCTTTTTCGTGATAGAATAGAATACGGAAAGCCCTCAATCCTTCGTACTACGGCTCACACGCCCATGGTCGCGGGGAGACAAACACAGAGGCAAACGCCCTGCTTCATCAAGATCACTGTATTGAGCAGCTGCGACAGTATATCATGTGCTCGGGGGATGTTACTCCGATACCAACCAAATTCTATCCATCTTTGGGGAGAAATTATGTTGCCTCGGATGTGCAACATACGTGTCGAAATTTCGAGGCTATCCACAGTTGGATGGTTAGTAGATATGAGCAAAATCCAATGTAGCAGTATTAGAAGATCATCAGGATGTGTGTCCAAGAGCAATCAGTTAAGTAGTAATTCTTCTTTTTTTTTTTT